TCTCCAATTTTAATCATAAAAATTTGACACCCAAGTATAGAAATACTATAAAACATATATAAAAGTTAATTTGATGTGCATATTCTAATATATTGTTTTGATATTTTAAACAGAATCAGAGATAGTTGTGTTTAACAATGTTTACTTTGTATAATCACTGACACCATAAAATATCACTGTCTTTTTAGAGGGTTGTAAAAAAAAAAAAAATCAATTTTCAAAAATTCCCAAAATTCATCTAATTAATGGACTTGAATAAAACTTTTGGCATTTATGTAAAAGAGAATATATATTTTTTTTAAAGCAGTCTTTCTTTAAAATTTTAGAGAAAAGATGTTTTTTTTTCATGTGATTGTACCTCCACTTTTAATTTGATTTTCATTTGTGTATAGACAATTCAGTTCACATTGAGTTTTATGCTTTTTAAATCAAAGTCCTTGAAAAATTAATATTAGAATATTGGAACCTAAAAAACAAAAGTCAATATTAGTTTTAAATTTTTTAAAAAATAACCCTTTTTTAAAGATTTTTTTTTTTTTTTTTTTTTTTAAAGGGATTTTTTTGTAACTATTTATGACCAATATTTTGAAGTCTATTCTGTCAAGAGTTGTACCACTCTGCTAATTTGTTTTTAAAAGTTTGTCCTTTACTAAATAAATATACAAAGATACTGGGAAAATATCTGCAAATATTTTTAAAATAATTGTAAAAAATATTACACAACTTTTGATGGGATATCATTATTAACTACCACTGCAGAAATTGTCACCATTCTTGCTTTAGCTATGTCATAGATTAAAAGAACAAATTTATATATATATATATGTTATGTTCAAAAGAATATTCTACAGAATTTAATGAAGAATTAACAATATATTACAAAGTAATATTGTAGGTAGAGACATGTATTATACATGGAATTTAAGTAATTACAATGTGCATGTTAAAGTAACCATATATGGTCTGAAGCCCCTTCTGTTTGCCTTGGGGTTCTTGATAGACTGCAGAGGCGGATATGCAATATAATTGGCCCTGTTTTGGCATCTTGTCTACAGTCACTTTCTCACAGACATGCTGTCGCCTCTCTCTGTTTTACAAATACTTTCATGGCAATTGCTCCGAGAAGCTGCATTCGCTGATTCCCAGACTTCATGAGTTCAAGCACCCTACGAGGCTGGCATCCCGCTTTCACCCTTTCACTGTCAAAACTCCTAAATGTAGCTATCCTTTCTACTCCAATAGCTTCATGTCTCGCACCTCTCACCTGTGGAACTCCCTTCCCTATTCCAGTTTCCCTGAGAGCTATAATCTCCAGCTATTCAAATGTAATGTCAATCGACATCTTCAATTGCCTTGATTTATCCACTACCCTTCTCCTCATCCTTTCTTCTATCACTCCTATCTGGTCTTGCTCCAAATTTTCTGTAGCCCCTTGTGTCCTAGTGGCTTCTCGCCCTGCTTGGGGTGAAACGCTTAAAAAAAAAAAAAAAACAATGTTTTAATTTTACAAAAGGTGAAGTACTTAGTTTCATATGCCATCCAAAAGAAAATTGGGCAATCATGGAACTTTGTACCCAAAATGAAATGTGTCAAAAGGATGTTTTTTCCCTTGACACTGCTATTATTTTAACTACCTTCACTCCTTGGCAATGTTTGTTTTAAAAAGTGATTAGAATTGTAATAAAACCTAAATACTTGAAAGTGAGTTCATACAATTTTTTTTGTTGTTCTTAAGAATTTACAACAAAAATAATAAACCCTATTTATTTGTCTGGTAGATATCAACATGCACTCTGTTACCAAACTAAATCTGGTATTTTTAGAAAGGTTAAGGTTTCTTCTTGAAAATTGAAAAATTCTCATTTGGATCACCTCGGGAACTTTAGTTATAGGGGATAATTTTTGAACCACAACTGAAATAATGAACCTTAAGAAAAACATAGCTGTATTTCATCATTATCAGCTGGTATATATCAGTAGTCATGTATATAGCAGTGGAACAATAGATAAAATGAAATAAACTCACATGTATCAAAGAACTACCAGTTCTGTATGCCTCTTAGTAAATGAAATACAAATCAAACACCCACAATTTATAGACCAATAATTGATCTGCCAAATTGAATTTTACAAATAAAACAGTCGGCAGGGAGCGATAGAGAGAGGTGACAGTTGGGCAAATATTTTAGAATACTTCCATATCTTGTTCTCGGACCTTGCTCTCACTGTGTGGAGCTTTTAAGATGGTCACATGATATCTATGTCAAGCGGACAACAAAGTAAGAAAGTTTTCTATTTTAAAAACCACTGATGCTGAGAACATGAAATTTTGCCTGGTTATTTTGCACCTAAAACAAACTTTGTGTCATTTGGTGACTGAGATTAAGGTACATCAGTGGTTTCAGCATGGCTTAGTTTGTCTTTCTAATTTGGAAATACTTGAAAATTTGTGACGTCCCTACAGCCTTCGCTCGCTCCTTGCTGCTTCACTTGGGTGTCGCCGTGCCAAACGTGACGTCCGCCTGTCTGCGTCAGTCGTGTTGTCCCGTCCTGTGACGACCAACTGGCTTGGTATTGGTCGTGGCACCCAAATGTGACGTTCTAACCTTTTGGTGATTCAGATGGGAATCTGGTCAGATCCGATATCAGCCTCGTCGTTCCCAACTCGTTTCCAACGTCTGGTTACCAAAGTAACTATGTTGATCTCCAGTCCACCTACCCACATTGTGAATTGATCTTAGGCAGACGAAATCAATCAGTCGTTGGGGCCGTAATGCAAGTTGAGTTCAAATGAGGGTGGTATCGCACAAATATGTGTAAAAAAAAAAATAAAATAATAACTCAAAAGTTCAAGGTATCAAAAAAAAGGATAACAATACTTTATATCTGGTTGCTGGATACATAGAACTGCGTCTAGCTCCCGAACCGCTATATGGATTGTGACACATTGTTTTTGTTAGGTGAGTTTTAACATCTTAAGTTGTCTGTTCTTTAAGAAATTGGTTCTTGGTGTGTCTTCAGGCAATAGTCGTAAAACTTATTTTGGTGGTATGGATCTAAGTCGCTCTTCAAAAATAAATTGTTCTTGGATTGAAGATGAGTTCGGAAGTTGCGCGAATCTTTCAAGTCAGCTGATGCGAGGCGGGACGCTGATCCAAACTGGACTGAACTGGGAAACTCTCTGGGAAACTCTGATTTTCGCTTGCTGCGACTTTGCTTATATGGACGCCGACCAAAACCGGGGTGGGCTTTGTTGGGGTTTGAGGTTCCTTGATAATTCCAAATCCACAATCCCCTTCTTTTGTTTTCGGTCAGGAAAAATTTATTATTTCCATTTTTGGAAGTCTTCTCTTACCCCTACATTCAGAGGGCGTCAACGATCCTCCCACTTCTTCACAGTAACATCTTATACCTATCCTCTCTAAGGAGTAGAGGCAGGCCTCCTCCCCTGCATCACATGATCACCTCCGCCTGGCTCTCGTTAACATTCATCCAATGGTCGATCAACAGTGTGGGCGTGACCAGACTAGCCTTGTTTCTTAAAAAAAAAAATATCTTGCTCAAAGAAAAAAAGAGAATTATCTCCTCTTTTTTTTTTTTATTTCCTTTCCTTCTTTTCTTTTCTATTCTCTCTCCTTCTCTGGTCGCCAACAGAACAATGCGACCAGTGGTGTGATAACCTCAATTCTCATCTGGACTTCGCAGTCAGATTTTCGCCAATTATCAGAATGGGTGGTCATCTAGCAATTACGGCCAACCGTTCCGATAATATTGTTTCACTGTTATCGCTACATTCTAACAAAACCCAGACCTTGTCTAACAATATCTTTCCCTCGACAAAGACTTAACCTATTTCCTTTTGTTTTCCTTAGTTCGTGGGTGGTCAGCAGTCACGTGACACAGTTAAATGTTTATATATTCTGTCCAGGAGTTTAGCTAGCCGATCTGGAATTTGTCAATTAGATTTTCGCCAGCACCAAGTGGCTGTTCCATTCCCGATAATATAAGTCCGCCACCACAACACAGTCAATTTTTATCTATTTAGAATTTTCTGCAATGGCAATGAAACCTTTCACCATTTGTTACTATCAAAATTTCATTTCTTTCCTTTCTTTTCTTCGCTTACCAAATGGTGTCACAAATTGAAGTTGGAAATGGAGTGAGTTTGAAGAACAGAGTCACATCTTTCCAGCAGAATAAGCAACCTTGGAAATGGGGCATTAGGGTCAATATGAACATTTTGACTATCCATCTTTACACATTTTTCCAACACAACAAGCGTACACATTTGAGAACGTCTTTTCAATGAGCTCCCTAAAATTTTCATGTTGTCAAGTTTCCTCTGGATAGAGTGATTAATCTCCTCGATGATATCACAATTGATTCCAGCACCATTGGATGCTGTCAAACCAGATGGCACTGATTGTAGTTCTGGTTGGTTTGGGTCAGAGGGATTATGCCAAGAGATCCAATCAAAGACTCTGATCATATCAACAAGATTTCTCTTCTGACATGTGTTAGTTCTATGTGCATCTTGCTGGTTCTGTGTTCAATATTGTCATGTCATTGTGCACTTAGATGCAGATGCGCATGCTGTACACCCACATCAATCTCACTGCTTCCGTAAACCTTTGTCCCCTAATTAGCCCCCCTAGTCTCTTTAAGGATCCCGTCATCACTTGTTCAATAATGAGGCCAGTTGACAAGCCAGCCCGATAATGTTCACTGCTTTGCACAAAACAAACCTGTACTCTGAGAACTGTTGATGTAGCCAAGGATACATTTCAGGCAATTCTAGCATCCATTGTAGGTATAATCATGCACTCTTTGCATAGCTGAAATGCCCAATTGCAAATAAATATAGCATTTGCCCTACTGTCACAAGATGAAAATTCCAATCCTTTGTTCTCTCAGCATGAGAAACAGCTTAAGAATGCTGATGTACTCAATGTAGGCCAGCCATAACTTTGCTGTCCTTGACTTGTTCCTGAGTTCATGCATCAGAGTACTCTCTGCAGCTTCATAAGGCCCAAAGATTTGCCAATGTCTTCAGTATTGATCTCATGCACTTGGAGTTCTTTATACAAATCATTTATTTCATCCACATCAGACAGTTCTAGTTTCTCAGGCAAATATCCTTGCACCACATCATGGGTATTATCTTGATGTACATTAGACATACTGCTCCTGGCTTCATTCACCACAGAGGCAAACTTCTCTTCCATGCTGAAAGCAATCTCTCCCTCATCTGCCTCTGCTACATCAGCTGAGTTTGATAACTGAGAAATCAATTGGTCATCAACTGCTGAAAGCACATCATCAATAAGTTTGCTTATCAAGGCTGCAAGTACAAAGAAGTCTGCTCATAAAGCTCTTGAAACAGCCTTTCCAAAAAGAAAGTGTGATACCGAGCTTTCTTCATAGATGATAGTCAGTAACTCTGACCACCCAGCACCATTTATAAGATTACCAACGCTTCCCAAGATGATGGCATGAAAACTTCCCAAACTACTCAAGTGGCTAAGAACTATGTTCTACCTTATAACACCTGTTTTTTGCAAAGAAAGTGATCAGAAAAACAGTTGTAAAAAAAAAAAAAAAAAATTTCCCAAAGGTGAATGAGAGTTTTTTTTCTTCTGCTTCCAATGGTACAAAACACGTCTTGGTAACATTTTTTTTTCCAGGTACACCTTATATTTACTCTACCAGACTATCTATCAGACTAGAATAGATTATTTATATTTATTTATATTTACTCTACTGGACTATCAAACTAGAATAGATTATTTATTGGAATTTGCCAGTTTCATGAGTGTGTATGTTTACTGTGCTAATGGCTGCCTCTACTTGCTAAACCTGGTCATTAATGGAGGAATTACACACTCACGTTAATATTTCATTAAAAATGATAAATTATTTCTGTCAAGTTTTATATTTGCGTTTGATGATTTTAATGCTCGTCATATAAAGTGGCTTAAGCATTCTAATGTTACCAGTATTCAAACTTTCAATTATTCCATTAGCTCAGTTTTTCGGTCAAATAGTGGATTTCACTATTTGTTTCCACCCTCAAACAAATCTGATCAACATCCTTTATTTGATTTGTTTCTTACTTCTCTCTTGTAGCAACTCCTCTTGGCAATTTGGATCACGTATCAGTACTATTGAGATTTCTCGAGTCATCTATTAGAAAGGAATTTCCTATTCACAAATCTTTTTTCTGTTATCAGCATATTAATTGTGATTCATTTCTAGACTTTTCAAGATGCCCCTTGGATTGAAATTCTTAACCTTCCTATTGAAAATTGTGTGACAGAAGTTTCTTCTGGAGTTAAAGCCAGATATTGATGCTTTTGGACCTTCTAGCAAATATCAAGTAAAATCACAATCTTCTTGGTTCAGATTAGCCTGTTCAGCTGCTATAGCCCATAGGAATCACTTTTTCTGAGTGTACTAGCATGACAATTCTGACCACATCAGACACCTATTTGTGATTGAGGATATGTTTAAAATTATTTTGAGCAAAGAGGCTAAGTCTTTGTTGATAGAGGCTATATGATGTCTCAGTCTAACAAGTTTAGTTCACATGACTACTGGCAACTCTGTAATAGTGTATTAAGAATAATTCTTCTATTCTTACTCTTTTCACTCAATTTGAGATGTTGACATCTGATAAAGCAGATCATTTTGCTCATAAATTCTACTCTTGACCCGAGTACATTTGCCTAACTCTCAACTTATAACTGGGTCTCTATTGAGTGATTGATATATGTATATATATATCTGTCCATTGTTTCTGCTATAATTTCTAAACTGGATCCTCACAATGCATGTGGACATGATCATATTCCAGCAATAGTCATTAAGAAATGTACTCCTGTTCTTGCTACAATAAATGCCATACTGCTTCTTGCTTGTTGAAAATCCTCTTTAAGAACTCAGGCAAACCTGATCCTTCTAACTATTGGCCATTTAGCCATCTACCTCTTTTTGGCAAAGTACCAGAGGCTCTAATCAACTCTGAATTAATTAAGGATGTTTTTTTTTTTGCAGGGTCTTTCAGATAAATAATATGCCTTTTACTTCTCTAGTTCAACTGCTTTTTACCTTCTATCATCATGGCTGATGCTAATCTCCATGAGAGTGACTTGTGCCTTCTCAAATTAAAGTTTTCAGTTGACATGAAATGGAAAGAATACATTGAATCGATTGCCAAGTCCGTGGCTATGAAAATTGGTTTATTATGTTGTGCTAAACAATTTTTCTCACCAGACTATCTTACATATTTATAAGTCCTCCATTTGTTCTTTGAATGTTGCTGCCACATCTGGACTTGTGCTCTTGCTATATATTTACAGATTCTTGATAAAACCTAAAGAATCTGCAAAGTTGTTAGTCCTGACTTGGCATCTCAGCTTCAGTCCCTCTCCCTAATTCCATAACATAGCTTCTCTGTGCCTTTTCTATACTTTCATGGTAATTGTTTGGAGGAACTTTGTTATGGTACCTAAACTTTATGAATTTAAGCACAGTACTAGATTGGCAGTAAGGTTTCATCATTTTGTAGCTGAAATGGCTAGATGCAACCTTTAGTTCTCTGCTAGCATTTTCTTCTCTTGAAATTCTTGGTTAGAGAACTTTTTCAGCTTGCTTCCCAGTCAACTTTGATCTTCAAAAAAATGTTAATGCAATGTCAATCGTTATCTTCTGTCTTAATTCTTGTTCTTTCATTGTCCTCATTAATAATAGTTTTTCTTATTCTCTAATACTCAGTAACCTCTTACTTGGGGTGAAATGATTAAAAAAGTCTCGTTCATGAACACTAAAACTCAACATCAGAACCTTGTTAGTTGTATTAGTAATCCCTCTCAGAGATCCACTCAAATTCCAGATAGGCTTTGTGACCTGTCAGCCCAGAAGCACATCCACTTATTGAGGTCTTCTATCAGTATAAGTAGCAAGATTGTATTCATCACAGACTTGCTATGCTAGTTGCAGCACTTGGTCATACATCCAAGTACTGACCAGCTGAATACAAAGCAATGTTCTCTCACTCGCAGTCTTTTGTTAAGGCTGAAAACAGTGTTTTAAATATTACCTATCTCTTGAAATCAGTTTGGCAGCTGAACTTATGTAGAAATCATGAATGGAATAAAATATCAGATTTACACTTGACCTCCAAGACTGGTGGTACCTACCTGAAAAGACATGCTCAGTCGCAATCAACATTTCCTAAGTGAATTTTTTGCTTGTAATAAAATTGCCTATTTTCTTAACTATTTTTTTGTAAAGAAAAAAAAAAATAATAAAACAAAAAACAAAACAAAAACATTTTAAGTATTTTAAAAATACATTTTATTCTTATTGTGTTCATATGCTATTTAATACATCATTCTTTATGACATAAAAAAAGTCTTCCATGTTTGGAATTACTCATCACATATATGAAAAGTATATTAAAAAAAAAAAAAAAAAAAAAAAAAAAAAAAGAAAAATATATAATAGTCATTATCATCATGAAATAATGAGAAATCAGATAAGACTATCATAATAAAATAAAACTTATGCCAGATAATTTAAAAGAGTGAATAGCACTAAAATTAGCGCCGTTGTTGTGCGACTTGAACCAGAACACACATGTAACTTTGTACCAAACACTTTCACAATTTCAAGATAATCATCACCCAAATATTTATTGGGGTTTTCAATATGAATCAGGCTTTTTGTTGAGTCTTTGAACAATAAGTTGTTGACTTTATCAGATGTGAAGAGAAGTTTTAGAGAATTTTTATCAGACAAGTCAAAATTGCTGAAAACCTGAAACAGCAGATTACCAAAATTTTTGTTGCCTTTCCTAACAACAATTGCATGAGCTGGCACTTTAGCTAAATGACATTTATGCCAGTCAGACACAGGAGCCACTGTTCCATCTTTACACAAGAGTCTATAGTTACTTGAGTTAAGAAAACGTTCCCACGGTTCACTTCCATTGCCATCTGTACTTTCAAAAACTGTGGTATGCTTGACGAAAGCAACATCAGCAGAAGTTTCCACAAGACAACGGAAAGCACCACTGTAATCATAATAAATGTTGTTTGAATTCCTTTGGCAGTCCTTACCATTATTGGGACAAAGTGCACATAGGCTCTCTGGATTTTGGCCCTGTGGGTTGTACTTTTTGTCTAGAGCTCCTGGGACACAGCTGGCAGAAAAGAATTTACCAACCTCTTCAGGAATAGAGTTTCCTTTTGGAAGCATGTTATTCTTTATAAGGTAACTAATGGGAGCTTTCCATCCAGAAGTCTTTCCAATTCCAGTATGACAGGATTTTTTACCTGGTTTAAAAGAAATAAGAATATCAATAATAAGTAACAATTATATTATTAAAAAAAAAAAAAAAAAAATGAATAAATAAATAAATAACAATGTATTTTGTTGATGGATAACTCAAAAAAAAAAAAAAAAAAAAAAAAGTTCTCAATTAAGAATCTGAGCATTACTAGTAAAATGCCTGGTTTAGCACTCGCTTGAACAGGAGTAGAGGTTGTTTCCTGTTTAAGATTGAGCTTCCAGTTCTTTCTAAAGTTTTTTTCATTCTCTTTCACTTACGTTTTTGTGGCATCATTGCCTTGCTTGTGGTGAATTGATTAAAAAAAAAAAAAAAAAAAAAAAAACACACACACACACAAACTCAAAATGTTTAAAACTCATCTTCCTGAATCAATGTCTTGCCAATCTTCTTCCATGTGCTGTATCCATTTAGGACATGGACAATCATGGGTCTCCACAACTGCCTATCCTTTGTAGCACTTAGCAATGTTTGTCTTTCTACTATCCCTCCCTGTTCTGACATCTGTTTCCAAAAGCACATTATGTAGATTACTTGTTGCTTTCCTCTGACACTCAATGTTATTGAGTGTCAAAGTCTCCAAGCCTTCTTCCCCATGTCTCAGAAGTTTCAACTCTTACTTTCTGATTCTAAGTATAGCTTAGGCGAGAAATCTGACTGATGCCAGATTAGTCTGTTTTGATCCTGGCTTGAGGCAATTGGATGTCTAGGCACACTGATGAGCTATGTTACAGTGAAGCAGTCTGAAGGACAAAAACAATATAAATAAATAAAAAGAAAGTGTCCTTTTTTTGTTTCCATTTTCCTTAAGACTTCCTCATTGCTCACATGTTCCATCCATAGTATTATTATTCTTCTGTAGAACCATATGTTGCCTCGTGTTCATCTGTAAGGAAATTGTCTAGCTTGCACTGCCATTATAGCATTGATATTTACGTAGCAGTTCAGCACACTAAGGAAATTTTCCAATTTCTTCACACTTAGTTTTTTGGAAGACATCTTGTTATTTATTCAATGTGCTTAAGAATTCAGTTCACATTTTCTATAATCTATTAAAATACTTCTAGATTATTTATTTCTTTATTTTTATTTTTTAAACAATTCATTCCAAGCAAGTTAACAAAGCCACTAACATGCTGGAGATTTACTGAGTATGAAAGAATATATGAAAAATATTAAGGAGCAAGAACAATAAAAGAACAGGAATTAAGATGACAGAAGATAATGATTGACAGTGATCTTCAAAATTTAAATGCAAATTTTCTCAGATTCTTTCATACTAAATAATATCTAAACTGCGTCTAGAGATTATATGCAAAAGAGGTATTGTCAAATATTTTATGTAAAATTCATAGATATGTGTTATCCAATGAAATAATTTGTACTATTATGTATAGCGAGTAAGCATGAAAGCAATTAAGTCCCAATTTTCAATTTCAGATTTAGTATTTTTTCAGTAATTATAGCAATTTGCAGTGTCAAGAGATTATTTGCAAGAACTAGAATTTAGTATTGTGGCTCATAAAAAAGAACTAACAATGAATGAAAAGAACGATATAATCAAAGAAATTAGCAAAGGAACGTCTTTGCTTCAAATTTCTAAGGATTTGAAAAGGGATCATCGAACAATCAAGAAAATATGTCAAATGGGAATTCAACCAAGGGAAAAAAAGTCTCAGGCTGAATTCAGGAATTTAACAAGGCAAGATCTATCACATATCCTAAGAGAATTAATAAGAAACCCAAATGCGTCAAGTGCATTCATATTTGAGGCCGCTGGAGCTCCTATGGTGTCAAGGGAAACAAGGTGTAAAGCATTAAGGAAGTTTGCTGATGTAAAAAATTCAAATAAAGAAATCCATTTTAACAAAAAAACATAAGGAAAGAAGATTGCAGTGGGCAAAAAAAATACATGAAAACTGATTTCAGTAAAGTGCTTTTTACAGACAAATCAAGGATCACCCTTGATGGGCCTGATGGATGGGCTCGAGGATGGGTTTGCAAGCAACATGACTCAAGAAAATTTTTTAAACACCAACAAAGTGGCAGTGGGATCATGATGGGCTGGGATTATTGGTAATGAGCTCATGGGTCCATTTAAACCGAAAGACAGGGTTAAAATGAATTCCAAAAGTTACTGTGATTTTCTAGAGCAATATTTCTTTGAATGGCTTGATAAGTCTTTAGCCAAGCGTAGATCTATGATTTTTATGCAAGACAACACACCAAGTCATGCATCAAACTTAATATTATTAACTTTTAATTTTACTGAGTAGAATCTAAACAACATCATAATAGGACTTTTAACATTAAAGACAACTCTTTATACCAATTCATAACTTGCATATAATCTCTAGACAGAGTTTAGTGTTAAAGTGACTGTATCACCTTACTTAGGGTAAAATGATTAAAATAAACATTATGGCCATGGCAGAATCATATCCACAATGTGATTATTCAATTGAAACAGCAGAAAGCAGAGGGTGACCACTATTATGCCTACACAGATCACTTATACCTTTACAGAAGTGCCTACTTCAGTAGCACTTAAAAAAAAAAAAAAAAAAAAAAAAAAAGGAATTTTCTTTCTGAACAGTTCTATTAATTCAATTAAAAAAGTAATATAACCCAGTAAAATAATTTATTTTTCCCCCCACACACACACTAATAGTAATACTAACCAGAAGTCTATAACTAGTAATTAAAATAAAATCACTAGTCCCACTTCATATTTCTAGAAAGATAAAGATTTCAACACATTTAAGAATCCCGTTTATGTTGTGTTGGAATCTTTGTAAAACATGTGTTGGCAATTAATCTTTATGGAAATGTAAACATTGGTCATGATTACAAAAAAAAAAAAAAAAAAAAAAAAAATTTTTCAGATTTCTTTTTAACCTCCCCCAAATTTTCCTTAGAGGATTTGTGGCCCCCAGGTTGAGAAACTTTGAAATCGACATATTGTACAGTGATGGACCTTGTATTAAAAGTTTCAGGTGGGGAGCAGCGAGACCCTAGTGTCGGGACTGCAAGTGTAGGGTGCATAAAAACCAATTTGTGTATAATATCGACTATTGGCAAGGTATAACTGAAGTGTCAAAAAGGCTATCGCTTATACCTCATGGGTGTTTGCTTGAGCAAGACATTGTTTCTTTGATCAGCAAAGCCTAAACTTTTCATTCATCTGATTGCCTACATTTACAGAAAAGGTGAAGCCACGACCACCATGTTCTTTTAGCTGACCATCAAAGATAGAGCAGTAATATCAGCAGCATAGTGGTTGAATTCTTTAACAACATACTACATGCAAATTTATATATGTGCATGAGAGAAAAACAAATGTATTAGTCATAGAAAAGAATTGTCAGCATTTCTTTCAAAATTAAGTTTTGAAAAATTTTTCCATTCCACTGGAGTGTAAGGGGGCACTACAAAGAAATTGTATTTAATGCACGATAAATTAACTTCAAATTTCTGCTTGAGATGATGAGAGAGATGAGCAGGTAGAGAGAGAATAAAGAAGCACAATTGACATGAAATTTGTTTTTTTTTCTGTTTGAAAGCAGGATAAACTATCGTAGTTTTACTTATATACAAATTTTTTTAAAATTACAAACTTTTCAGTTGCTTGATGTTAAAGTCAGCATCTTTTTTTATAACTGCCACAGCAAAATAGGAAGCAGTTTCTATTCCATAGTCTTCAGCAATAACAGGTTCAAGTTTACAGCTGAAAAAAAAAAAAAAAAAAAAAAAATACAATTGTAAGAGACATCTTATGAGAAAAAGAACATTTTCTTTAACTACAAAATTTTAAATCCATGCATTAGAATTGTGAACTTAAAATTAAAAAAAGCTTGTAGAGAGATGCTAAAAAAGCTAAGATCAAATTATATTCATTAGGATTTGACAGCAAAGATAATTTGCCACATGAAATGCTTTTTGTTTTAATTTTTATGAACCAGATTCTAAACAGAACTTATTTTGAAACTTAAATCCGTATTTTACTAAAGAGAATTTTCACAGAACCAAAAGCAGTGGTTAAAAAAAAAAAAAAAAAAAAAAAAAAAAAAAAAAAAGAAATAATGCAAGATGATCAAATTTCAAATCTAAATTGTTTGTCCATTAAAAATATATTAGAAAATAAATTTGTAAAGGCATAAAAATGACTTCAAAGAACCATACATATTGGCTTATGCTTTTTTTACCCAGGGGCGTGTTGACAGTCAGAAAGAGAAATTAGCCCTTACCAGATAGATGTTCACTAATTGCTTCTTTAATTACATCATTCAAATAAGTAGATAGTTTGATGGAAATGGCTGTAATGAATTATTAATGAGGGGACAATTTTTTTTTTTTTTCATTTTGTCCCAAAACTACATGTTGAAATTTAATGAAACTTTCACAGAATGATAGCAACAGTTATATGCACATGCGCTGTGTAAAAAAAAAAAAAAAAAAAAAAAAAGTTTCTGTGCAAATGTAAACAAACTGTAGCTATTTGAATTGAGTAACACAATACTTCAGTGTTCCAACTTATTAACAAATGACTTTGTAATTATGGAATTATTGGTTGCAATTGTGACTTAAAACCACTTCTGAGAAATCTGTTATAATGCCTGAACTTGCAAAATGTAAATCATTAGAAATATCCAAAAAGGACTGGAAGATATCACCAAACAGTGAAAAGATTTGTTGCAGCTCTTATGAAGGTACGTAAGAGGGTCAATAAGGGTCACTCGAGGGTTGTTTTCTAATGTTCTCAGTCACAAATTAAACCTCAAGCTGCAAATAACCTAAACCTGACCAGTGGAAAACTTTTCAAGCACATTGGACACAGCTGTGTCCAGAGTTACTTGATGTTGTATTCTAAAAAGGGCCACGAAATCACTGAGGCTAGTGACAATGCCACCACTGACAAAAAGACACAAAAATAAAGTGTCTGAAAATGGGCAAAATGATGGTCGACTTCTCAATGGTTTTGTTCACAGATAATCTCATGCTACCAGTGATGGCCCTGAGGGTTGGAGCAAAGGTTGGGTTGTAAACAGACATTTTCAGCAATGCAGGAGATGCCAACAAGGAGGAGGGGTATCATGATTTGGGTTGGTATTATCAGCAGTATCATGGTCGGTCTGTGGAAAGTGCCTGATGGTATTAAAATGACTGCAGACACTTTTTTTTTTTTTAAACGTTTCACCCCAAGCAAGGCGAGAAGCCACTAGGACGCAAGGGGTTACAGAAAATTTGGAGCAAGACCAGATAGGAGTGATAGAAGAAAAATGAGGAGAAGGGTAGTGGATAGATCCAGGCAACTGGAGATGTCGATTGACATTACTTGAACCTTAGTTAAAAAAAAAAAAAAAACAAAAAAAACCACAAAAGCAAAGAATCACATTCAGGAGAACCATCATATTTATGCAAGATAATGTTCCTTCACATGCAATGCATAAAACTACAGAGTACCTGAAACAATTATGTTTCTGTGGACCTTGGAAAATGAACTGGCTGGCCAATTCTCCAGACTTAAACCAAACCAAAAACTTGTTGGGTATTCTGAGGCAACAGGTTTGAGAATGGATGTTAATTTATAAGCAATGAGGACTTGTGGCAAGCAATAATGAATGTATCATGGGGAATTAAATCAGGATTCCAGAAATTGTCATGTTCCATGGACCAGTGCCATATCCATATAATTTCAAGAAGATTACATACCTTATTGAACAGTTCCACTATTATTTTTGAACTGTGTACTTGATGATTTCTATTTATTTCATGTCAGTTACTGTATGTACTCATAACAGTCTGTATATAAAACAATTACTTATTTGCTCATTTACACGTTTTAATTATACCTTAGTAATAATTTGGAACAGGTATAATTTAAGTAAACTCGGTAAATGTCCATAGCTTTTGTGCATTTTTGCGGAACTTTCACTTTTTACAAAGTATGTGCATCTAACTGTTGCTATCATTCTGTGAAAATTTTGTTAAATTCCAAAAGTTTTTGAACAAAATGTTAATTGTCACCTCATTAATAATTCGTTACAGTCTATATGTTTGGACATTAATAGGAACATTAAGTTTTGAGTGAAAAATCATGAGAATATTTAATGGGGTTGAAGAAAAAGTATATTAAAAAGGATGTCTATAATTTGGAAATGGATAATTGCCAGTGTATCATTCATTACATGATAAATGAAAGACTAGAGATCATTCAAATTGTGTATGTACAAATATGCATTAAAAAAAAAAAAAAAAAAAGATTGTTTTCAAATTTATGATTTTATTGAACATTTGAAAATTATTTGGTTACAGGGTAAGGTAGATGTTGGTGTTAGAGTGGGAAGGGGATGTATTATTCCAAACTGTGTATGTATATAGACAGTTTATATATTTTGCCCCCGAACAAATTCTCCAGCATTCACTGTCATAGAAGAGAAATGATGTTACATAGTAGGTCAACACTTTATTTTTAGTAAAATTAATAAAGTTTAATACTTTTAGTTTTATTGAGAGCATTTTTCATTATTGCAATGCACCTTTGGATTTTTGGGTCATATTTGCCATCATCCATTCAAACACTATAAGCTTACTGAAAATTTCTTTTCAAATTTGGATAATTTCTAGCTGAAAAGTATTTTATAAATTCATAAGAATTTAATAATACACATGACCCAAAAAAAAAAGGAAAATTTTTATACAATGTGTTTCATCATTCAAAAAGACTTCTTCAGATGATATGTTTGAGGAATCACACATACATACATGATACTTATTGGAAAGTGCTCAATATCAGTAATTGAGCTAACATATTTAGTTGGATTGATGCAAGTTTGTGATCCTGGGTTTCACACTATTTGCGATTGTTAAACAAACTGATTAATTTATTAAATTTTGGATTTATATATGGTTGCGTATATCGGTGTTTTATAACTTTTCCACCCATTACCATAAAAACACCGATATACGCAACCATATATAAATCCAAAATTTTAAAAAAAAATCAGTTTGTCTGACAATTACAGAGAGTGTGAAACCCAGGGTCACAAACTCACATCAATCCATATATATATATATATATATATATATATATTGGGGGGGGGCATTCCTTAATTCTGTTTTTCCATTTTTATAATATTCCATGAGAAAATTGCAATAAAGTATGCTACAATTAAAACTGAAAAAATTCAAAATTTTATTAAAAAAATAGCAAATGTCTTCAATAATTTTTTCTGAAATTTTAAAATTCAAATCAAGAATGTGTGTGTGTGTGTGTGTGTGTGTGTGTGTGTGTGTGGGTGTTAAATGGCACAAGCAAGTCACTAATGCATATAGCATACACCTGTGCATGCATGCAAGCACACACACAAAATCAGCTCTTATAATATAAAGACCTGTCAACTTACTTATTTATTGCTGTACTAATGTCTCCACCATCAAGAACCACAAAATCAGCCTTATTTTGTTCAATTGCAGTCATACAATCATACGAGTCTTTAACTTTTACACATTCAAGTTTATTAGTCGCTCGCTTAGCCATGAAGGCCAATTTCAGGTCAGTACATTTTTTTAGTTCATCATCACTGATAACACACCACCTTAAATTCTCTTTGCAATTATGGTAATGTTCAAAAGTATTTTTAAATCCTTCACCTAAAATAAAATTGAACAAGAAAGTTATACATGTAGAAGGCAATAATATGGCTTGAACAAAGTAATTTAAGAATTTTTTTTTTTTTCATGAAAACTAAATTAGAAATTTTAAAACATATTTCATGTTTTATAAGTATTATCCTTGTCTTTCAAACACTTAGGAGTTTTTATTAAATATTTTAAAAAATTTGCTTGTGAAATTTAGAGCTCAGTGGTATAACTTCCATCTTAATGAATTGAATTTTAAATACTTAAGTTTTACAATGAATTCTGTTTATGAAAATCCTGTTAAAGCTTTGTTAAAATAATAAATCTCACAGACTTACCCATGATTTTCGAGTAATCCTTATCTCCTGTATCCTTTAATTCTTTAACATTTGTCCAGTTGAAAACACGTATCAAACTAGCCAACTTACTTTTTAAATTGTTAGATATTGAAGCTGTGTCAGAAACTTTAGGTGAAACAACAATTGTGTCACTTGGACGAACTGCCCAGTTACAATCGTGGTACTGATCAAGTTCCATTAACTTGCCGTCAGGACACAAAAGCTTGTACTTTGACTTGTCAGAGTTTAACATAGTTTCATGTTTAACAAAAGCAATATCAGCCTCAGTTGATTCCAAACATTTTTTTGCACCTTCATAGCCAGCATATTTATCTGTTGGCGAACAGGAGTCAGTCTTGTCATGACAAAGACCACACAGCCGGGGTGGGTTACGTTCTTAAAAAGAAGAGATTTTGTAATTAAAAAAAAAAAAAAAAAAAAAAAAACACACACAAACAAAACAAAAATCACAGTAAAGGAGGAGAAGAAGAAGAAGAAAAAAAGGAGGAGGAGGAGGAGGAGAAGAAGAAGAAAAAAAAGGAGGAGGAGGAGGAGAAGAAGAAGAAAAAGAAAAAAAAGGAGGAGGAGGAGAAGAAAAAAGGAGGAGGAGAAGAAGAAAAAAGGAGGAGGAGAAGAAGAAAAAAGGAGGAGGAGAAGAAGAAAAAAGGAGGAGGAGAAGAAGAAAAAGGAGGAGGAGGAGGAGAAGAAGAAGAAGAAGAAAAAAAAAAAAAGGAGGAGGAGGAGAAGAAAAAAGGAGGAGGAGAAGAAGAAAAAAGGAGGAGGAGAAGAAGAAAAAAGGAGGAGGAAGAGGAAAAGAAAAAAAAAGGAGGAAGAGGAAAAGAAAAAAAAAGGAGGAAGAGGAAAAGAAAAAAAAAGGAGGAAGAGGAAAAGAAAAAAAAAGGAGGAAGAGGAAAAGAAAAAAAAAGGAGGAAAAGAAAAAAAAAGGAGGAAGAGGAAAAGAAAAAAAAAGGAGGAAGAGGAAAAGAAAAAAAAAGGAGGAAGAGGAAAAGAAGAAGAAAAGGTGGAAGAGGAAAAGAAGAAGAAAAGGTGGAAGAGGAAAAGAAGAAGAAAAGGTGGAGGAGGAAAAGAAGAAGAAAAGGTGGAGGAGGAAAAGAAGAAGAAAAGGTGGAGGAGGAGAAGAAAAAAATCACGGTAAAATACAGAAAAACATACTTAATGGATCATAACGTTTTCCCATTGCCCCAGGAACACAACTTTCTGAGAAAAAGTCTCCAACATTTTCTGTTGAACTGTAACAGTCTTTCAAAGGTGAAATGATTTTCATCTCAATAAGATTTGAAACAGGTGTTGTCCAACCAGTGGTTTTTCCTGCACCAGTATGACAAGATTTAGCATTCTTCAAATCAGACAATTTTTTAATCTTTCCATTTGCTTTTACAACTGCAACAGCTTTGTAACGATAATCACCAGCTGAAATAAGAAAAGCAATTGCATAAAGGTTTGCCTTTTTATAATAGTATGCCTGCATGTTTGTAGTTAAACATTTTTCAATGAACTTTTTCCAGACAACCAAACAACTCAAACAATTATAATCTCAATTAGACAAACTGAAGAAAAGTATTTAGAATTAGTAAAGATACATTTTTCTAGTTACTAGGCTATAATTGTCACAGTTTGGCCACAACCATAACTGTGGACCCTCTCAAAGTATTTTACTAAACTGTATCAATTCTTTTGTCAGTGTGCACAAAAACCAAGAAAGGGTCAATGTCTATTGACAAGGTGAAATAATGCCATGGTGAGAAAAAATTTTCTGATACATTTAGTTATTCACAGATTCACTTTGTAGTCTCTTGTTTTAACCATCTCTCACCAGTCACCAACTTCCAACACTCACCCTACCATCCCACTGTCAAACTACTTCATCTGAAGCTTTCGGACTGCCTTTCTTACTAGTCACCAACTGCCACCCACCAACATGCAACTCCAACAATTGATAATTCTAACTGTGACTGGTTATGTAAACCTACAACCAGTGGTGGCAAGAGGTGGGACAGCATGCACAAATGTGCCAGGCTCTAAAACCCGAGGGCCTCAAAAAAAAAAAAACAAACAAACAACTCACCTTTAGGGTTTTGGGAGCTTCTTTACAAAAAGTAGAACAAAATTAGGAATCGGTATTTTATCAAAAAAGATTAAAACCAGTTTCAAAGCAGCTTAAAAGTGCATTTTTTTTAAACTTTCATTGAAGCAAAATGTGCAATGAGTATCTTAGTTTTATTCTTGTGCCAAATCCCAAAACATGCTCTTTAAAATGTCTTGCAAGATATACTAGATCTAGTTTGTCCCAGCACCTAATTTTCCAACTGGAGGGGAGCTAAAAATAATCCAAGAGCTGGACCTTGAAATTTTAAAAATTCCAGCCAAGTTGCACTCAATCCCAAATATTTTATTTGCTTTACATCCCTCTTGTCCAGCAAATAATCGCTTTGAAACTCATTTCTACATTTTACTGCCTATGCAGTCAGAAACTCAACCCAGATAAAAAAAAAAAAAAAAAAAAAACATTCAATCTACTTTGTGGGAGTTAGAAGTCATGACTGTGTTCCATGATATCACAAGCAGGCAAATTTTCATGCCATCATTTACAAGATACTGCAATTTTGGACTGACATTCATTTCAAGGGAGATAGAGAAAAACTATTCTTTGGAAGACTAAAAGCACTTAGAGCAATTTTGTTTTACTGAGAAAAATTGTTCTTAAAAAATGGAATGATGAAGCTTAAAAGATGAAAGAAAATTATATAGAAAAGATATGTTGTTCGATTAACTTAATACACTACTTATTTGATATTTTGTTATGAAGTAAAAGAAAAGTAATTTATTTCAGTTACCTAATAAAGAATTATAACCGATATGACCTTAAAGAAATTGGGTTTAAAAAAGATTTATTTATATAATATATATTATATAAATAAATAATATATATATTATATAAATAAATAATATACAGATATATAAATAAATAATATATATATATATATATATATATATATATATATATATATATATATACACACACACGAACTAGGCATTCACTTTTTTTTTTTTAACAGTAATTCAATGCCTACCAACATGGGTATACAAGTGTTGTAAAATGTACCTGTTGACAGGGTTTGAATGCATCTCACATTAGGGAAACAATCTTAAGTTATGTGTGAATTATACCACTTGAAAACAAATGGTCTAATAGTAGTTGCCCTCCAATATAAGGGAGTGGAGGTTTGAACCATACTAAAAAGGGTGCATTTGCTTCATTACATACAGGCACAAATGCCCAGGCTGATAGATGTTGAATGCCACTGTTAAACAGGATTGTCTACTCACACGAGTGTAGGCACTAAATATAATGTACATATTAAGAAAAAACATGTTGACATATACAAGTTAAAATTATTTTGCCTTAAAGAAAGAATATAAAGCAAATAAAGTTTCTCAGAAGGAAACATCAAAAACTTACTATTGTTATGAACAATTTGAAGTAATGGTTTGAGGCCAATTTTGCCTGCTGGATAAAGTTGTGTATCAGTAACTAAAAGGACATCAGCATTTCCAGCTTTCACTAATTCCATGCAACGAAAGATGTTGTGGGCCTGCAAAGATAACACTGAACTTCATAAACAAAAAACGTTTAGTATTAAAAAGTAGATCAAGTACAAATTAGGGCAAGGAAATATTCCTGGAACACCAAGCAAAAGATCAGATTAGCAATCAGTCTGATAATCTTTTAATTCATTGCAAATAAATCTCAAGAAGTTTGATCATTTCTAAGAATGACATCAACTTTTAAATTGTGTCTAATCTAAATGTACATGTAGGGATTATAATCAAATATTTTTTTTAAACTTACTCTTGCATATGCAAATGATATTCCTGAAAGAGCATAAAGAACATTGAAATATATAACACACACACAAAAAAAAAAAAAAAAAAAAAAAAAAAAATTTTTTTTTTTTTATAAGGGCTACAATCGACATTACTACCACCAATAAAAAAAGTGATTAATTTTCTAGATGTAATATTAAACCTAGACAATGGATACCATAAACCATACACAAAAGTATATAACCATAAACAGTTTAGTAAAGATTCAAACCTCAATCACAAAATTCTAGATAATTTGCATAATTCAGTGCAAGTTAGATTATCCACCAACTCCAGCAACAAAGAAATATTTAATAATGTTAAAAAGATAAATATATTAAGGCTTTGGAACTTAGCAATCATAAGGTAAACTTAGATTATTTTAATAAGAACAAAGACAGTAAGACAAAACAGAAACATTATATGGTTTAACCCACCTCTTAACCATAAATGTCCAAACTAATGTCTGAAGAATTTATCTAAAATTAAACCACAAGCATTTTATTCATCTACCAGAATTAAAAATAATGTCAAAATTAGTTATAGTTGCACTGGTAACATCTATAGATCTATATCACAACACAATGCCAGATTCAGCAAAGACAACATAAAATTTTCCAATAATAAATACAGTTGCCAAAACATGCCATCTGTCCATTAAACGGTCAATGTATGTCTGATAATCTATATTGAGCATGCATTCATTTCAGTAGCGAGGTTAAATTTTATTTTGGTTCAGAGAATCTTTGGAAGCTTCATATCTACCATCACCATATCACTGACTAATATCAAATAGAGAAACAGCACTAATTATTTCTGGCAATTCACCTTCAATATAAAGGAATTGAATGGGAAGCACTAAACAGTTTAATGGCAAGGGAAATAAATGCAGCCTGTGTTTAGTTTAAAAAAAAAAAAAATAAATAAATAAAAATAAAAAATAATCATCTCACAACATTTAAATAACTCAGGCTTACTAAATAAGATAAAAGAACTGATGGTCACATGTAAGCATAAAAATAGATAACTAAGCACAGACCCAGATTCATTGTTCTTGCAGTTCAGTTTAGGGTATTTTTATCTATTTACTATTTATTACATATTATAGGTTATTACTTTGTTTTTTTAATAGATTTTTTTATTATATAATATTTATTATAATATATTTTTCTCTAATAATTTTACTATTTTATATCAAATTAAGTTATCTCCCTTTCATTATTAATAATTTGTAGTTGATAACTAAAATTAAATTAATTACCTCTCTTTGATGTTCATATGGTAATTCTGGTTGGTTTAGTTGCTAGATTTAATGTAATGAGAAATTAAAAAAAAAAAAAAAAAAAAAAAAACGAAGAAAGATTATATCACTATATAAATAGGGCTTAAATGTGCCAGCATTAGAAAATATCACTATATAAATAGGGCTTAAATATGCCAGCATTAGAATAAACAATTTTTCAAATTAAATGATGGTCAGTATACACGCAGCACTTAAAGATTGCATTTCACATAAAACTCAGTAGTGCAAACGTTGTGGGATATATGTTCATTTATATTATAGCCCCTGAAGTGTACACGGACATGTCCATCTACGAAACTCTGAAGTTGGGATGCTGATGGGAACAATCAGCTAAGTGATAAACTTACTTTTAATAATATTGTTTTTTTCTCTTTCTCTCTCACACAGTGTTTGTAGGACTTTCTCCAGGGATCAACTGACAGTAACTTGCCCAATTTTATTTTTATATATATATATATATATATATATATATATATATATATATTAGATGAGGGTCATTCAATAAATAAGGTGAATTTTTCGATATAATGACTTCTAATACAGATAGAAACTTGCTTTTTTTAAATTTTTTTTGTTTTACTGCTTTTTCACATGTATTTAATTTCTTTTGCAAATAAAAAAAAAACTTTGAGAGTTTTGGCGATTAACAAAGATGGCTGACCAAGAAGCATGCTCCAGGATTGAACAGCAGTCAGTTATCAAGTTTTTGTTTGCTGAAGGGTACAAACCAGTTGAAATTCATAGGAGAATGTCAACTGTGTATGGTGCCACATGTTTCAGACAAAAAATATCTACAAGTGGGCTAAATTGTTTAAAGAAGGACAGAGCAGTGTTGAGGATGAAGACAGGCCTGGGAGGCCTACAGAAGTGAGGTCTCCTGAGGTGATCGAATCAGTCAATGACCTCAGTCTGACAGAAGAACTACTGTGAACTGTTGAGGCAGGTCAAGAAAGACAAAGAACAAACGCAGGGGGTCATCAGTCATCTTGCATCATGACAATGCAAGGCCTCACACAGCAGCCCAAATGATGCAGACCAACAAGCTGGGCTGGGAACTGCTCCCTCATCCCCCTTACAGCCCAGACCTTGCCCCTTCAGACTTTCACCTGTTTGATCCCTTGAAAGCGTTCATGAGAGGCACGAAGTTTAAAAGTGATGATGAAGTCAAAAGTGTTGTGAGTGACTGACTGAGACATCAGCCCAAAGATTTTTACACTGAGGGAATACAGAAGCTTGTGCACAGATGGAAAAGTGTGTGACAGTGCTGGGAGACTACATTTAAAAAAAAAAAAAAAAAAAAAAGCAAGCTTCTTTCTGTATTAGAAGTCCTTATACCGAAAAATTCACCTTATTTATTGAATGACCTCGTCTATATATATATATATATATATATATATATATATATATATATATATTCTAAGTGGTAAGTAAATGAATTATTAAATGAAAACAAATCCTTCATTTGTGTTTCGTCTCCTGACCTTACACAATATATTGAATTAATACAACTTTAGAATCTGTCACTTAGCTGATTGATGTTATCTTCGGCATCATAACTAGAGTTATGTAGACAGACGTGTATAGGATTCTCTCAATAAAATCATTTAGTCTAAAGATGTTCCTTTGCAATCAGATATAAATAATTGCCAACTTCACCATAAGATAAAAAATATTCAAGTACATTTTACTTATATCATCAATTGAATAATCAACTAATGTTTTGTACATTAATTTTCTTTCTTTTTTTACTTTTTTTTTCTTTTCAATTATTTCACCTCAAACAAAGCAATAAACACCAAGATTCAAGGAGTTACTGAGTGTGAGAGAATATGAGGGCGGGGGAAACAAAAACAAAACAAGAATTAACACAGAAGATAACGATTGCCATTGATCTTCAAAAATTTAAATGCAAAGTTGACTGGAAAGAAAAAGCCGGAAGAGTTTCCCAAATGAGATGTGCAAGAAAACATAGAACTTATGGTTACATCTGACCATTTCAACTGTAAAATGAAACCTTGCTGCCAATCTAGTATTGCGCTCAAATTCATAAACTCTAGGTAACAAAAAGTCCATCAAAACAATTACCATGAAAATATTTATGGTAATGGCACGGGGATTCTATATTACAGCAGTGGGAAAATGGCCAAGATGCCAGGTCATTACCAATAATATTGCAAATTCTTTGGATTTTATCAAGAACTTCTAAATATATAGCAGAAACACCAAACCAGATGTGGCAACAATATTCAATGGACGGAAAAAAGGTCAACATGTGTAAGAGATTCTAGAAAGAAAAGCAAAATTGTCTAGCATAACAGTGAATCAACTTCTCTAGCAGTAGATCAGAAGTTGATTAAATATATTTCTATTTCAGATCAGCAGAAAATCTTAACCTGAAAAGGCAGAAGTCAATCTCCTTGAGGTTAGCATCAGACATGCTGATGGAAGGTAAAAAGGGTTCTGAGATGATTAAGAGGACAGTTTCATTTTGAAGTTTTTAAAATTAAACCATTCATTGCCCCAGTTAAGAGATTTTAGGTCATTTTTGAAATCAGCTGCTAATTTGATCTTATCAAAATGTTAATTATGGAGCTACAGTAGAAACTAGATTATCAATTTTTATTGTATATGGCTTAAATTCAGATTAAACAATACAAAATGATGTAATCATAAATGCTTCAGAACATAAGCTGTGGCAATGAGGAAAATACATGCAGTAGCGATAGTCATGTATTACCTTTGGTTAGGAAAAAGAAAAACAATTTTTCTCATTTTCATTGTTATATCATTTAGGTAAGGTCTTAATATTAACAAGGCTTCGGAGTTCAACAATTTAATAAGATATCACTCAGAGATTGTTGTAAATTATAATTAGTAGTATTTACTATTTCTATAGTAGTTTTGTCTTTAAGGTCAGGATTAGTTTAACCTCCAGCTGTATCAACTACTATATGGTGGAAATTTGCATATGAAGACATTCTCCCCCACTTTTGTTTTTTTTTTTTTTTTTTTTGACAGTGTAAATTTGGAATACTTTACTTCAGGTAAAAAAAAGAAAAATAATTTCAAAAAACAACCAAATTAATTTTTTTTGTTTTTAAAAAAAAGGTGTTCAATACCTGTGTCGTTTAGGTTCTTTGGTGTTATACTTAATGCCTTAGAGGAATAGGCGACGGGGGCATTTTTGCAGTGTTTGGGTTTAGGGATTTAAAGGTTCTAGGTTCAGCCCCATCAGTTGAATTACTGGACACAGTATCTTCTGATTTTCGTATGTCATTTCCATCTGAATCTGGCGTAGGGCTATTTGAAACTACTGCAACTTCAGGTTCAGAGATTGCTGCTTTCTCCCCAGCAGGAACAAGGTAACAGAGAAGCAGTATTTTTTTCCATTTGCTAACCTAACAAAAGGTGTAATCAGGATTTGCC